TGAAGCAAACAGGGTAAGTGACTTGCCCAGAGGCACACGGCAAATAAGTGTCTGAGGCTGGATTTGAACTGTGGTCTTCCTGACTCCAGGTCCAGTGTGTTATCCACTGCACTACCTAGCTATTACTATTATTATTATTATTATCACTGCCACTGCCACCACTGTCATCTAGGGGAACACAGAGCTAGAGTATTTTGGCTACTGCCCTTCTTGATTCCTCTGTCAGATCGTCTTCAGTGGGGAGAGAAGCTTTACTGTGAGACCAGTTGGGAGCATGGTGGCCGAGCATTTTCTCCTGGTCTCACTTCTTGGAGAATCAGGAAGAAGGAAGGAGGAAGGTACTTTCCCTGATTCCATCTCAGGGTGAGTCACAAGGGAGCTTTGAGCTCACTCGGCACTCTTTGTGAATCAGTCCCCAGGACATAAATCTTATCACATAGAAGAAGGCTGTCACAGGAGCCAGAGGGGCATAGAGCTAGAACATACTGAGATTGGGAAGGACTTAAAAAGCCATCTAATTATTACTATTGTTATTCTTGTTAACCACCACTAAATATTTCTAATGATAAAACAAACTTAGTCATAGTTATTATTTGTGATAATAATAATAAAACAATAACAATAGTCAGCATTTATACAGCACTTTCAGATTTGTAAAGCACTTTCTTAAGTGCTTTATCTCATTTTATCCTCGTAACAATCCTCCCATTTTACAGATGAGGAAACAGGCAAACAGAAGTTGTGACTTGCCCAGGGTACCACAGCTAGGAAGTGTTTGATACAGGATTTTAACTCAGGACTTTATCATTGCAGGCCCAGCGCTCTATCTCTCCTCTGCCACATAGCCCTGCTCAGTGAAGGGACCCCTGATACAGCATTTTAAAAGTGTTTTTTTTTGTCCAGTACTTTATAATATCAGCATCTGCCTTTGAAAGAGCTATTAATTCAATGGGTGCAGACACTCCCTTCAGTGACTCAGATGGTATCTGAGAGTTGCTGTGCAGAAACCTATTTCCCCATGGCCAACTTTGTGATCAGTCTCTCTAAGCTTAGCTAAGCAGACCTCAGGCAACAGACTCTCAGAAAGAAATAGGGATGTTTGTTTTGGCAAAATGCGGTTTGGAAGATTGGGGGTGGAATGGCACATTATTGCTGTCTTCAAGTTTCTGAAGGGCTATTATATGGAAAAGAGACAAGACTTGCTCTGTTTGCCTCTAGGGGACAGAACTCAGAGTAATGGGTTGGCCAATTTAAGCTTGCTGTCAAGGAAAACCTTCTTCCAAGGATGCTGGCCAAAAGTGGAATTGGCAGCTGGGAGAAATAATGGTTTTCTCCTCCCTGGAGGTCTTCAAACTTAGGCCAGACACCTACTTGTCAGGGATGTTATAGTAGGGGACTCTTTTGAGGGGATATGGGCTGTTCTTAATGGCTGCTAAGGTCCCTTAAGGTTCCAAATTTCTGGGATTCCATTCATCATCATCCCATTTTGGAGCCCTGACAGAATTCACGCCTTGCTGTCATAGCCTATGAGGACTCAAGGTCACTTCCACAACAAGCTGACCCCTGGGATGAAGACTCGATTGGAGGCACAATAACAGATATAGTGATAAAAGATACTCTAGATAATTTCCACCCAGTTGGCCTTTAAATATATTGGGGTGGTGTTCCTGGTTCGTTGGAGGGATTGTACATTGAGCAGCATCCTGTCCAACTCTGTTTTTTATGCCCATTACACCAGAACATTCTATACTTGTAATATTCAATTATAGCAACCTTAGAGCAGCAATTTTATTTAACTCATACAATTCGGTTCTTTTTTTTTCCTTCACATTATGGACTGTGAGAGGTGGAAAGACCTTAGAAAAGCTAGACTAGCTCCTTCTCATTTTACAGGTGAAGGGATGGGGAAGAGAAGTGACCCGTCTAAGATAATATAAGATTTAAGGTTGATCTGGGCTTCATACACAAATCTTTCCGTACTCCTAGTTCAAAGCTCTTTCTACTACCCCACACTATCCTTTCAATGGTCTTTGGGGGCCATCTGGGATGATTATTTCATTTATCAAATAACCACAGAAATGCAAACAAGTGACAGAAAAGAGGATGTGATTATTTTGCACCGAATGTCCTGGGAATCCCACAACCGGACAGAGAAGATAAATGACCACACTTCAGATGTGATGAAAAATGAGAGATTTATTGCACTCAGGGGGTTCAGTACCATGGAGAGCGCCAGGGAATGAGCTCTATTCTAATTTTCAGGGATGGGAACCAAGGCTGGAAAAGCTTTGCTGCAGACAGTCAGTTGATCTGGACTGAGATTAAAGATCCAAGTTGTATGACAATTTAAAAAGCAAATAGGAAACTGTAGTTTACGTTCAGGAAAAAAAAAAGCTGCATGAAAATAGACATTTCTGTTACTCTACAAATCAGTTCTAGTTCATGTGAAGGAGAAAACTCCTAACTTCAGGAACAAAATAGGAAGTAGTTTATATAATCAGGCTGCTGTGAAACCCCTATGCTACATACAAACCACTTATAAAAAGTCACAAACTGAGTCTTAAGAAAAATGGTGGCACAGGACACATTCTCCCTTCCCAAATGGAGAATTTTTTTTGAGCCATGATAATTTGCATTGGATATGATTTCTTCATTATTATTTCACTGGTCCTTTTTTATGACCCCCTAGGCAAGGATGTGACTTACAGATAATGGTGAATTCATTCTTTTGCAGGTTGTTTTCTGAAACTTGGAATAGGATGGAGTCCATAAAATTGCCGACTTTCCCCCCAGCTTTTCGTGACACATCCTTCATCTAAGTTGGGGGGGAATACTGAAGGGTCCAACTTCAGTTCTTCACTCCTTTTTCTATTGGCTTCATTTTGCATCCTGAATATTTCTCCTCCAGATGATCTTACTGGGTGGATTTTGCAAAGAGGCACATTTAGGCTCAATAGGAGGAAAATTTTCATGTTGTCAAGAGAAAGGGAGGTAGGTTTCCTGGAATGTTGGGTGGAGGCCCTGTGGCAAATCCATGGGAGGACATGGACAAGTGTCACCTAGGATGAGAAGGCATGGATGACTGTGATCTGGGTCACTGGAGGGTATATCCACATTCATAAAATCACAGATTCCTTGGAGCATTTGACTAAGGAAACACTTCCCATCAAGCACAACTCTCCTAAAGTGGGATGAGCTGCCTTACGAGGTAGTAGGTCCCCCTTCATTGGAGGTCTTCAAGCACAGGCTGGATCACTGTCACGTATGTTATGTGTGTGTTTTGGGGGGATATTTTGAAGGTATAGGTTGAACTAGTTGCCTTCTGAGGTTGATTCCAACTTTGACATTCTGTGATTCTGTGACCTTCTCCTCATCAGTCATTAGGGTTTTAAGCTGTGAGAATGTGACCATGCAGAATTCAGTCAGTCAACAAGACTGGAAGCCAGGACCTCATTGTCTCAAGGAGTGAATAGCTTTGTTGAAAAGATGTTACCAATTGTTATTTGGCATGAGGAAATTACTAACCGCAGCCTGAGCATTGCTCAAGCAACGTATGTTGGAACTAGACTAGTGAAGTTAAAAGCGCTCATACTGTTAGGATAATCTAAGAGAGCTTCTGAATCAAAGAGATCATCGTGCCATTTGAATACTGTTGTCATTTACCTTTGAAACTGCTTGGTTGATCTTGGTGGTGGCGGTGCAATTGCCTAAATTGGTAATGCTACTAATCTCACTGATGAGGGAAGTTTTGGTTTAAAGTAGCCTCATTTTGTATTATGAGTCAGCCCAAAAGATCATGATTTCCTCCTCATTGGAATTCTTCAAAGAGAGGTTGGGGGCCCCCTGATTTGATAGATTAATATTTTTGTGATGGCAAATTAGGCCATCTCTTGTTTCAATTCTTATCTAGCCCTTAGTCATTGAATGGACATTGCCTCAGACAAACTGAGGCCTGGGAAAGACCTCAACTTGGAAAGGCCAAAGTCATCCACTGCATCCCAGGTCATGACCAGTCATCTTGACTTTTGTTTTGCCACTGACTTCAATGACTCTGGAAGAGAGAGGAGGCACAGCTCTGCCTCACTTAAATCCAATTCACTCTCAAGTCAAGAAATCACCCTCACGACGTGATTGGTCCTCTTAGAGAATGAAGGATCAATAACAACATTGTAGAAGAGACTCTCATTCAGGTAAAGATTGGATGAGATGGCCTCTGAAATTCCAGCCAACTCTGACATTCTGTGACTCTATGATACTTTTTATGTTCTATGTCATCTCTGGTTATTGTCCAGGTGATAAAAGTGCATATTGACAGCATAATGTGGGGCACACAGTAGGTAAATAAGAATATTTGATTGCTTGACTTCTGGAAATGACTCAGGCAGGTCAAAAAAGTGCCAGCACTCAATGCTGTATTCCAAGGGAACAGGAAATCTGTTCCCTACCCCATCTGAGACCCTGGGTCTCAGAACAAACCTGCCCATTCAGCTGCTCGTCTGCATTTTCTGGGTCTGATGAGGAGGGAACTCTGGGTTATAGCAATTCTCCCAGATCCATCTTGTCCAAATTTGTACTCTCAGATGGCCCTAGAATAACATGAAGTCTTGTAGCCCAGTCCTGGGACACCTCATGTCCTTGAAGGGCCAATTGGCATAAACATCAGATCCATTGAATCACAGACCAGAGAGCTTTGGGATTTACCAGTTGGCCATGGTCCACCCTGTCACATGATAAAGGTATAACTTACTGCACTTCATTTATATTATAGGAGTTGGCATTTACAAATAGGAAAGTGGCAATAGTTTGGGGATCATGGGCTTATGGCTAGAAGGAACCCCAGAAATCAGCTGGTCCGACACCTTCATTTTGACCATGGGGATTTGATGCTAAGAGATGTTAAATGACTTGCTCAAGGCCCCAGAGGTAGCCTCTGATTCCAAATCCAATGCTTTTCCCACCACTGCCTCAAAACCAAAAACAAGCCAAAATCAAACGGAAGCTAGAATATTATCATTTTATTCAGGACTTTTCTGAAAAGATTATATGGGAAATTACTGACGGAGGACTGACACAGGATCTGAGTCCTGCACCCTCACTTAACAGATGTGGAAACAATTGCCCAGTCTCCTCATTTTAAAGTTCTAAGGTACCAATTCTAGAGGCCCAAATCCGGATTTAAAAATCTAGAGCACATTCATTTGGAGAAGAAAAGGAAGATGAAAATCCATGGGGCAAAACCTGGCTCAGTCATTCCTGAGAAGATATTGTCCACCATGAAATACTGGGAGTCACTCATCTCCAGCCAATCTGTTCTTTGTGTCCTATGGAGTGGTGTTCAGGAAGGAGCGAGTCATCTCTCTGCAAACTTCAGCCATAGCATTCCACAGGGCATCCTGATCACTCTGCAAAATGGATCTTTCAGGTTGTTAGGAGGCGTCCAAAGCTGTCGATCGGATACTTCAAAGAATCACCTGGGATTTCTTTGCCTTCAGACTGATACAAAAGAATGAATATTTGTAGCAAGTGTAGACATATACACATAGGTACATTTATATGATTTCATCAGTGTAGGGAATTCCCAGCGAGGAACTCTTAGCCAATGTGGAGAGGCATCTGCTCTGCAACTTATAGCCTTAAGGAGCTGTCCAGGAATAGGTAGGTACATATGTAAACAAATGCCATAGATTCAGAGATATAATGGACCTTGGAGATCACTGAGTCCAACCATTCATCATTTTGCAGATGAGAAAACTGAGCCCCAGAGATAAGAAGTGACTTGTCTAGTGTCTTACTGTATTCAGACCCAACTCCTCTAATCCCAGATCCAGGGCTCCTTCCAAGGTATCGTACCATTATCCATCTAGCTTCTATCAGAATATCCATATTGTATGGCCACACAGCACTGTGGATGGAGAGATCACCTTGGAGTTGGGAAGATGCAGGTTCAGGTTCTGCTGGTGATCTCTAACAGGTGTGTGATCCCGGGCAAGTCTCTTAACCTTACTCTGTCCCAAGCAATACTCTAAGCCTTTAAGATGCAAAGTGGTGGGTGATCCATATTGGGAGAGGAGATTTCCTTATTGGGAGCTCCTAATTCCAGTGAAATCATAGGTAGCTGGGAGAAAAAAGCATGCTAATATGTTGATTCAACATTACCATGAACTCAAAGTGGGGAGTGCCAAGCAGGCAAATTTCTAAGTGATGGAGATCTGGTGACAGATAAGCTTGAGTCAACATTTTTCTAAAGCTCCAATCTTTGTAAACTTAGTTTCAGCTGTTTAAACATATGGTATGGTTGGTAGAAAGGTCCCCTCAGTTCTCAAATTCCTCCAAGTAAATATCATGTCCAAAGATTTTTAATCCCAATGATTTTAGTATTATTCTTATAAAAACAGACATATATGAACTGAAATGACATGCCTGGTACATTTTTGGCACTGTTTTTTTTTGTTTGTTTTGCCTTTACAAAGTAAAAATACACAGACATGTGAAAAAGAAAAAAGCTATCTTCTTCAAAGTATTTTACATTGCAGGGATCCACACTACCTCTCTCTACACTAGAACAGATTTAAAAAACATCATGGTTACAGATGCTGCATTAGGAAGACTGGAAAAAAAAAGACATAGGCATCCCCCCCAAAAATACCATCAGCTTTTCCACCCATCAGAACATTGCTTGGAATGCGCAGGTCCATCCCAACCTGGATCCCTTTAGGGGGGCAGGGTTAGAGTTAAGACTTTATGGGAGGAAAATATTTAGTTTTTCCACACTGTTTCAGAATCATGGAATATTAATAGAGTGCCATTATTTCAGTTGGCATAGGATTAGATGAAGCATCAAATATAAATAAAAGACTGAATTTTGCCTCTAAAAAAAACCCATTGAATTTCCTTTACAGTTGGCCTTCACTTCCCCAAACATCCCACCAGCCATTCATCTCCAAGAAGCATTTGGACTATATTTAAGGGGATGGGAAATGCCATCAAAAACACGGATCTCACATCTGACCTTGGTAGTAAATCTTGGGTTTCTCTCTGATAGTTATAGGGGAAGTTGGCATGGGCATGGAATGGCTTTCCACCACAAAGGGGCAGGCTTGAGCCTCAGACCATTCAGAAATAAGTCTACATTTCCAGAGAGGAAGCAACAAGCCTATCATCCCATTCATTTGAAAATATTTTAATCTGTCAACTGAGATTCCCAAGTGGAAGTACATATGAAAAGAGGTGCTTTTAACACTGTGAGTCAGCTGGTAGTAAACAATCTTGATGCTGTTGCAAGGGAGAATTGTTTCTGCTTGGTCCCAGAGAGCAGAACTAGAAACAATGGTGGGGAAAGTTGGAAAGAGGTAAATTTAAGCTGGAGGCGAGAGAATATTTCCTAATAATGAGTTATCCAAAATGGAGACCAACTACTTTGAGAAGCAATGGGTTCCTTCTCATTGGGAGTTTTCAAGGAATTACTGGAGGTATTATAGAGAGCATTCTTGGACAGGTATAGATTGGGCTAAATGATCACTGAGATCCTTTTCTACTCTGGAATTCTTAGATTCTGAGGCAGAGGATGACTAAAGCTCCCAGCTCTACCTAAATCTTATGCCCTGACCTGGGGCCATGTGCCTTGGGACATCATGTGGGAGTTGTAACCATAGTTCCCACTGATCTGGGTATGCACTAGGTTAGGGATGGGAGGAAAACAATGGCTTTAGCATAGGGCTTCTCCATCCCTTCATCCCACCCCCCACCCTCCACTGCACCTCCAGTGGATTTGAATGACAACCCCCAGAGGGGAAGAAGTTCCACATTGGCCTGGTTTCTATCACATGTAGCCATCTGATGTGTTTGGAACAGGGGAACAGTAAAAAGGCCCTGGTACTATGTGGCCAAAGGGGATTTGTGGCTGCTCTGATTGCCAGAAGATGACTACCTAGTCTCTGAGTTCTGAAGTTTCTTTCCTTCTCTCAACTGTTGTTCAGAGCAATGAATACTGCCAGCTTGATTGAAATCCTAGAGAGATGCCTTTCTTCCCTTCACCCCAGGTCTCCCCTACACACTAAGTCGCAATTCTTTCTGCGTTCTTCCCATTACTCTGATATACCAAAGGGGAGAGGAGGACAATGCAGGTAGATGACACTATGTCAGTGATCAACCTAAGAAGCATTGAGAAGAAAAAGGGAGAAAATGCAGAGAGATGGTAGGTGGATTCATTGTCACTTTGACTACTGGGGTCCCTAAGCCACAGTAGATCAATATGTACCAGGAGATGTCTATGTCTCACCTGGGAGACATTCAGCTGGTTGCTTACACCACATTACATTCTCAGTCTCACTAGAGTCTCTGATAGTTGATCAAGGTTTCACCTTCTGCCTCATACACTATAATACCCATAAAGGAAAGACATATACCTGGCTTCAGTTCTGCCCTTTATTGTCCTCTCTTTATAACTCCCTGCCCCACCTCCTTTTAGGCCTTCAGAGAAACAAGGACTGCAGCTTTAGAAACGTGCTTTTCAAAAATCTGGTTGGGGAAGCTCCTTCTGGTCAGTGCCTTCCCATCCATGTTGCTTGCTGTCTGCTTTGGATATACCCTGCACCTGTCTCTGTATCTATATATTGTCTCCCCTGATAGACTATAAGCTTCTTGAGGGCAAGGGCTGTTATATTTTTATCTCTGTATCTCTAGCATTTCTCACAGTGTTGGCACATAGTAGTTGCTTTTTAAACACTTGCTAATGGATTGATCCAGTCTATCCTCCCTCAGTGGAATGCAAGTTCCTTGAAGGCAGGGATTGTTTCATTCTCTATAGTTGTGTCTCCATCACCTAGGTGCCCTGCACATAGTAAGTGCTTTATAAAAATGTTTGTTGATTGATTGAATTCCCTATTTGGGAAGGAGAATCAAAGTGGGGAATATATGGCAGGGGGGGACTGGGGAGGGGTCAGGCACAATTCAGCTAACCTTTCAGCTCAAGATACCTTCCCCCTAATTGAAATCCATAGATTGACATCGTTTTTGAAATATGAGAAAAGAAAACTAAGCATCCCCCAGGGATCCTAGGCAAGCAGAGTTGGAAAGACCCTGCTGCCTACATGCATACTAATTTCTGGAAGCTATAACAAACATCATACTTCTCTTTGTCATTACTGAGCAGGTATCAGAAAAAGAAGATACAGAGGCAACTTGTGAGCCTGAATTCAGGTTTCCTCTGTCCCTTCTTCCTGCTGAGACCTATAGAAGTCACTGACCCTCTCTTGTGCCAGTTTCCTGAGTCAAGGATGAAGCTGGAGAGAGAAGATATCTCTGACTTCAGAGACCTTGAAAATAAGCAGCTACCCTCACAAACAGCCAATGATATGAGCAAGTAAAGCAGAAAAAGTTGGACGATGAGGATGATAGCTTTTGCTGCTTGGATATCTCCTAAAGGAGGGAGGGAGGTGGCAAGAATTGAATGGGGACTGGCAAGACTTGGTACCCCTCTACAAAGCGTCATTAAAACCTAAAGGATGAGAGCATGAAGGCATAGCATCACATTTGAGATCAAACTGGCCAAAGTCCCTGGGTCATCTCCAAGCCCCATGGTCCTGTGGAGCCTGAGCCACCTGGCCTTTAATATCTCTAGCTGCCTAGAGATACCTCCCCTCCCCCCAAACCTTCAAAGCCTCACCCCTGGTAGCCCTAAGTCTGGACATCACAGCAACCTTGCCAATGCACCATTTTCCTTTGTACCATCATCCAAAGAGACTTCACCAGCAGATCATGGCCCATCTTCCTCCCTTTAACCTGAATGACCAAACATACAGACACACCTGCCCTTGGGACTGAAACTGTGCCAAGTTCCTGGCCTGGACAGCCACCCCAAACAGCCGTGCACACCTATTTCCATTTAAATATAATAAATACAGTGAAGAAAACAGGAAATCTTCAATAAGGAGTCTAAAGGAAAGACAATGGAAGAGCCAGGGTTTCAATCGAATGCCGTGTGGTCTCTGGATGAGTTACTGAGGAAGTCCTATTGTCATTCACATCTTGAAGGTCACATCTTGAGCAGAACTGTCTTTATATTGAAACTTCGTATTCTCTTGTTTCCTATGACAGAGAGAAGAAAAAAAAATTATAATTTAAATTTTACTTAGTGCCTAGTTTTAGAAGTGGTTGCATGCCTTGGGACAAATTCCTTTCCTTCTCTGAACCAGTTTCTTCAATGGTAATGTGGACAGCATAACTCTACTGCCTGTTTCAGAGTTAAGAAGCTACAATATGAAAGGAGTGAATGCAAGCAAACTTTTTATATATTGCAAAGTACTAAATAAAGGTAACCTGATAGTAGTATCATAGTCACAGAATTTGAATTGGAAGGGAGCTTAGAGGCCATCTAGTGCAACCCATACTTGAATGAGAATCCTTTCTCCAATATTCCACCTCTGACCATTGCTGTTCGTGTTCAGTCATTTTAAATCCTGTCTGACTCTTTGTGACCCCATTTGTTTGTTTGTTTTTTGGCAAAGATACTGGAGTGGTTTTACCATTTCCTTCTCCGGCTCATTTTGCAGATGAAGAAACTGAGGCAAACAGGGTTAAGTGACTTGCCCAGGGTCTCACAGCTAGTGTCTGAGGCCAATTTTGAATTCAAGATGAGTCTTGCTGACTCCAGACCCAGCACTCTGTGCACTATGGCACCACCTAGTGGCCTGCTGTCTGTGTAACCATGGGGAAATCAACTAAATCCTCATCTTTAATCTCACTGTACCTCAGTTTCCTCTGAATTCCCTTCCGGCTCTCAATCCATTATCCTAGGACCTGGGTTCCGATCCTATCTCTGACACTGCTTGTGTGACTTCGGGCAAATCATTTAATTGCACTTGATCTGTTTCCTCATCTGTAACTCCCTGGGCAGCTAGGTGGCTTTGGGCCTGGAGTCAATAAGACTCATCTTCCTGAGTTCAAATGTGGCCTCAGACTTTTACTAGCTGCGTGACCCTGGGCAAGCCACTTCACCCTGTTGGCCTCAGTTTCCTCATCTGTAAAATGAGCTGAAGAAATGGCAAACCACTCCAGCATCTTTGCCAAGAAAACCCCAAATGGGGTCATGGAGAGATGGACACAAGTAAAAAATTCTTGAAAAACAACAGCAGCAGCAGCAGCAGCAACAATGTCACCCTCTCTGGGCCTCAGTTTCCTCTGAACTCCCTTCCAGTTCTCAATCTATGATCCTGGGATCTAGGTTCAAATCTTGCCGGAAGGAAACTTGCCACCATTAGCTCACAACCTCTATGGACCCTTCCATCTCTAGGTCTCTCAGCCTCTGATCTTCTATACAATGAGTAGCTATCCAGAATTCTCACTCCAATGGATGAATTACCACTACATCCAGAGGCAGCCCATTCTACTTCAGGATAACTCTAATTGTTAGGAAGCTTTTCTTGACACCAAATCTCCATTTTCTTCTTGGCACCTTCCCTTCATCATTCTTATCCTGTCCTCTGCTCCCAGGCAGAACCAGTTGCATCTATCTTCCATGCGGCAGCCCTTCAAGTCCCCGAAGATACATACACCTCCAGCTTCCTTCCCCTCCTCCAGTTTTCTTTTCTCCAGATTAAGTATACCTGGTTTTATAATCAACTCTTGTATGAAATGGGTTCAAAATACTTCATTGTATTTATTGATGTCTTTTGGCCATTTTCTAACATATTTTTTAGTCCTTGAAGTATAACATCAGGGTTTAGAGCTGTCTGGGGGGTACTTAGAGATCACCTCATCCATCATCATCATGTTAAGGATAATGACCTTGGGCCTGCCAATCATTTCCCCTCTTGGGGTCTCTAAGATTGGCTCTCTCCTCACTACTCCTCACTGTCCAATGGAGGTATTTGAAACTGTATGCAAAGCACAATAGAAACCATTAGTCCATTCTCCCAGAGTCTCCTATCCCACTTTACCTTCAATTTCACCACTCTCAAAGTTCTAGACTATTTAAATTTCCTCTCCTGGGGAACCTGTAGGGTCAGCCCTTCCTACCAGGTGGTCAGTCTGCATTGATGAAAAGGGACCAAGTATTTATCTCCTCCTAACCCATCCTAGCATCTTTTCAATGGAGATACAAAAGAACAAAATGGTCACCTCATTAACCAATTTTGATGGGGGATGCAGAGAGTCCTGGTGGCTGCTTCCCTTTGAGAGCTGCCTGGGGAGTTATAGGGAATTAAGCCTTCAGTTTCAATTTCCCATCATTCCAGCACCAAGAAAATGAAGGCACCAGAATAAGAATACAGATCAACTCACCCCTGTTTCGTAAATTGGGTTGTCAAACTCCGTCTCCACTGTGATCTGGCTGTATGGGTGAGAGTACATTAGAGGCAGGCGCAAGTTGGAGTAATATCGACACCTGGAGGAGAACATGAAAGGGATAAAAAGAGTTACTTTCTCAAGGAAACATGTTACAGTGCTGAAGGAACGCAGGCGCACTGCCTTGCATGCCCTTGCAATCCCTCATTTCCTTCAAGGCTCAGCTTAAAAGCACCACCTTCTATATGGTGCCTTTCTTGATCCCCACTCCTCTGAGTCTCTTCTCCCCAAATTATCCTGGATATAGGTATGAATTTGGGTGAATTTTTTTGTGTCTATCTGTGTATATATTGCCTGCCTCAGCTAGACTGCAAGCTCTTTCAGGACACGGATTGTTTTGTTCTTGTTTTTGTATTACCAGAACTCAGTGTAGTGCCTGGCACATAGTGGGAGCTTAATAAAGCTACTGAAGATGAGACTACTATGCTACAGATGACTGAATTAAGGCAATGTTATTGGCAAACAGATCCCCCTCACCCTTACATTGCCTAGTGCCTTTATATCCCCTCCAGTACCACTCTGAGGCTCCCTCCCCTCTTGTCTCAGTGTTAAGCTTGATAATGAGGCATCAAGAACACTCAGTGGATAGAGCACTGGACTTGGAGTCAGAAAGACTTGAGTTCAAATCCAGCCTCAGACACTTATTAGCTGTGTTGACTCTGGGCAAATCACTCAACTTCTGACTGTCTCAGTTTCTTCATCTATAAAATGGGGATAATACTACCTCCCTCTCAGGGCTGTTGTGAGGATACAGTGAGATAATATTTATAAAGTACTTTGCAAATTCTCAAGCACTATATAAATGCTATCTGTTAGTATTACAATTAATCTATAAAATAAATCAAAGCTTGTTGATTGATTGATGCTGTTACCCCTAAGAGAACGCAAACTCCTTGAAGGGAGAGACTTTTTCCCGTTTGCATTTTTATCCTCAGCACTTAGCACTGCTCAGAACGCATAGGAAGAGTTCAATAAATGCTTGTTGATTGACTGAATAATTCAGAGATCTCGACAAGCACCCATTGAGACTTCCGGATCTCTTCCAGTAGCTCTTCCCTTAGTTAACATGAAACCCAATCAGCATCATTTTATTGGCCCCTTCCCTTCCCTTCCCTTCCCTTCCTTCCCTTCCCTTCCTTCCCTTCCTTCCTTCCTTCCCTTCCCTTCCCTTCCCTTCCCTTCCCTTCCCTTCCTTCCTTCCCTTCCCTTCCCTTCCCTTCCCTTCCCTTCCCTTCCCTTCCCTTCCCTTCCCTTCCCTTCTGCCTTCCTTCCCCTTCCCTTCGCCCTTCCACATGGGTAGTTATTTTTTGCCCTTGACTTTGTGAGGCCAAGGACTAGTTTATTTACTGGGTTCTGCAAGAAGCAGAACCCAGAGACAATAGGAATGGATATACCTACCCCTGCCTCATTCTACCCAGGCCTGTGTGGCTTAATTGAAATATGAAAAGTGATTGGAGGCATTTGGCTAAAGGATTCAGGCAATCTGCTGCCATGGCTGGCTGGCTCTTACCTGGTGATGTAGATGTAGGCCCCACCCAGCAGTAGGGAAATGATGAGCACTGGGATGAAGATGGCCAATGCCATGTTTCCCCCTTCCAGGGAGGTCTCTGCTGCCGCTTCTGCTACTAAAAAGGCAACATTTGTTAGGAGCTCATTTCTTAGAGGTTTCACAGGGATGCATTGTGGAGTTGTGGCAAATCTGACCCTCACTTCCCTGCTCAATATATTTCAATGGCTCCCTATTAACCTCTCAGATAAAATAGAATCTCTTCGATTTGGCATGTTAAGCCTTTCATAATTTTCTCTATTCTATCCATCTGGCCTTATTATATGTGATATCCTTTCATGAACTCTTTAGTCCAGGCAAAGTGGCTTTATCCCTTTTCTATGATATTTCTATGATATTCTATCTTCCCTCTCTGTGCCTTTCCTGAGGTTGTTCCCAATGCCTGGAATGTAGCTCCTGCTTACTTCTGCTTCCTGGAATCTCTAGTTCCCTTCAAAGCTCAATTGCCACTTGCTACATGAGATCTTCCCTTCCCTTCCCTTGTGCCTTCCCTTCCCTTCCCTTCCCTTCCCTTCCCTTCCCTTCCCTTCCCTTCCTTTCCCTTGTGCCTTCCTTTCCCTTCCCTTCCCTTCCCTTCCCTTCCTTCCCTTCCCTTCCCTTCCCTTCCCTTCCTTCCCTTCCCTTCCCTTCCTTCCCTTCCCTTCCTTCCCTTCCTTCCCTTCCTTCCCTTCCCTTCCCTTCCTTCCCTTCCTTCCCTTCCCTTCCCTTCCCTTCCCTTCCCTTCCCTTCCCTCCTTCCTTTCCCTTGTGCCTTCCTTTCCCTTCCCTTCGCCCTTCCACATGGGTAGATATTTTTTGCCCTTGACTTTGTGAGGACAAGGACTAGTTTATTTATTTATTTGTTTGGTTTTTTGTACCTGATGTCTAGAGCAGTGCTTGGCATATAGAAGACCCTTCAAATGATTGCTACCCATTGATTTAGAGTCAGAAGACATGGATTTGAATCCTGACTTGGTCACTTCTACCTTACATGATCCTGGAAAAGTCATTTGACCTTTATGGGCCTCAGTTTCCTCATTTAAATGAAGGGGTTCACAGAATAACAGAACCGGAAGACAGCCCTGTAGCCATCTACTGCCACACATACCTGAAAGGAAACCCCACTGCAACAAACCTGACAAATGATCATTTGGCCCATACTTGAAGACTTACAAGGAGAGGAACCCATTACCCTTGAGGCAGGCCATCCTGCTTTTGGACAGTGCTAGTTGTTAGGAAGAACTTCCTGACCTTATGCCCAAATTTGCCTCTTTGCAACTTTCACAAACTTCCATTGGCTCCTGGTTCCTCTTCGACATGAGAGCTCCTCACGTTCTCCACCTTCCCCACTGTCTTCTCTTCCTCTGGACATGCGATTCCTTCCACTGATTCTCATGTGATATGTGCTCGGTACATCTCACCATCCTGATTACCTTCCTCTGAACAGCCTCTAACCTATGTGTCCCTCTCACATTGTGGCTTATGCTGCTGCTAAGGTCCCTTCCAATGCTAATTCTGTGCTCCTATGACCTACATAAAAGCATTTTCCATCCTTATGGGAACTCATGTTTGACTCCTTGATATTCCTGCCCTGCAATCATGATGAAAACAAGGAAGTGGGGAAGAGTTAGATTGGAGAAAAGAAGACTCAGGTGGGTGATGGTATCTGTTTAAAGGGCCATCACTTGGAAGAGGGAGGAGACACGGCCCCAGAAAGGCCTATCAGGAACACTGGCTGTATTCTTAGAGAGACAGTCAGTCTTGATTTCATGGGGAAACATCAACAACAATAACAAAATTCCCAACAATTAGAATTGCCCAAAGTTGAACGCACTGCCTCAAGAAATATAATGCTTCCCTGGAGATGTTTACTCAAAGGTGCAGTGTGATCTTTTGCTGGCGGTTTTTAGAGAGAGCTTTCATTCTGGTATGGCTGGGTTGGGTGGCTTCTGAGGTCCCATCCAACTCTAAAAACTTCATTATTGATTCTTCTGCCACCCTAGGGACTCTCCAGAAGCCCAGCCAATCGATACTCCCTCTGAAGTAGAGAGATCATCTAGATGTCTTAAGTGCCAGATGATGATCTCAAGGAGGAAGACGAGGCAGGGCCCAGAGGAGGGAATGTGAATTAAAAAAAATCATAACCATATCAGAAGTAGCTCGACAGCGGAAAAAACACAGGACTAGGCAGTGAGAACTGTGAGTTACAGACTTGATTTTGCCCCTAACTTTCAGTGCAACCTTGGGCAAATCATGTTTTATTAAGTGACCTCAGTTTCCTACCATTGGGCAGGACCCAGTGATTTTTAAGGTGCCATGGACCTCCAAGATTCTATGCCAACTCTGAAATTAGAAAAGGTCATAGGACAATTGCTCTAGAACTTGAAAGAATGTTGGAGGCCATCTAGTCCAGCCTCATCATTTTTACAGAAGAGGAAACTGAGGTCCAGAAAGATGGAATGATTTGCCCAAAGTCACAGAGTCAGCAAGTAGTAGGGATGGTGTTTGGGGGTAGCTAGATAGTGCAGTGAATTGAGCACCAGACCTGGAATGAGGAAAATGTAAGTTCAAATCCAGTTTCAGACACTAGCTGTGTGATCCTGTCAAGTCACAGGGTTACCCTGTTTGCCTCAGTTCCTCATCTGTAAAATGGGAATACACTGGGAAAAGAAATGGCAAAGCACTCTAACATCTTTGCCTAGAAAACTTTGTGGACAAGACCATGGGGTCATGAGGGGTCAGACATAACTGAATGACTCAGAAGCAAAAACAAGGGATGGTATTCAGACATTTGAACCACAGTTTTCTGACTCAAAATGAAATGTCTTTTCCACTGCGCCAGGCTCCCTCCTTGATGTGAGTGGAAGGGAAGGTGTTTTGCCTTAGTGAAGGGGGAAGGGAATAGAGAATTGGGGTCAGTTAAGAGTTCTGGACTCAGAGAAGGTACCACAAGCCAGTCCAGGTAGCAGAAAGTATCATCTCAACTGAGGGGAGAAAGCTATTCCATGATAGGGCTAGAGAGAGACATTCTGGGACTCTAGCACAAAGATGTTACACTAGGGAAAAGGGGAAGGGAGTGTGAAGAGGTGGCAAAAGATCTCACTCCAGCCACCTTGTTTAACTATTCTTGCTTACTAGGTACTAACTTCTGCTGTTTTATGCTGCAAAAGGCTGGCAAGTATTTGCATGCTCTGTCTCTTGCCTTGGGACAAAGCTCTGATTACCTTATCTTAGTTATGGCTCTGGACAGGGTGATTTGTGGGCTGAATGTGTGAGTTTTTAGTCTTTTGTATCTCCAGGATGGAGAGTTTGGAGGTCACCTTTCTGGGCCACTTCCCAGGGCTGGCAAAACCAGACCTTGTCCCTTGAAAAGGGACAAGGCACAGAGTATGGCATTATTTCTGTGGAGCTAAGAATAGGAACTGGGCAGGGATATTGCTTGTAAAGAGCCATTCAGAAAGAGCAATTCTATCAAGTATTCATGATAAATGTCTAATGTGCCTTTGTGGTTTTCAGTGTTACCAGGCAGCTAAGGTATGTCAGAAGTTCCCACTGCTTGCCCACACCCCCAAAAAAATGCACAAAAAAGGAGAGTTCTAGCAGGAAAACACTCATTGGACCACAGAGCCAGATCAGGAAGGGACCTTTGAGTATATCTAATTCAGCCCTTTGCAGACAAGGAAACTGAGTCTTAAGCAGGGTTAGGGTTAGGGAACACAATAAGGCCGTGGGTTGGACAAAGGTTCAGCCACTCTAAGTTCAATATACCCAATTTAGTGCCCTTTCACCTTCACCACATGGCCTTCCCGAGAGAGGAGCCACCTCCAGCTTGTCAAATGGAGTAAGCCACTGCTTCCCCCTTGCTGCTGCTTTCCCTTCCTCCTCCATAGCTGGCCCTGTCCCCTGATGCCATAGAAAAGATGCTATCCATTATATCAGATGGAGCTGACTTAACCCAGCCCAAACTTCCAGGTGTGCTACTTATTTGAAGTGATGAGGCAAATTGCTTAATTGGTTGAAAATCTTACAACTGGGTTATTTGAATAAACTGCTTCTCCAACATACGAAATGTCAGTTTCTTTTATATTTTCCTGTGCAGGGAATTGGTGCCAAATCGCTATCCTGGCATATTTAGGCACTGAAATGAATATCCAATTATTTTTCACAATGGCACTGCCCATGCAGTTATTGGCGGAGATATAAATGGGCTTTGTGATAGCTTGATAAAGACGCTAAGTGACCTTCCCCATCTCTTTCATTGTTATGTTTTGTGGGTGGGATTTTCATTGTCCAACTCACCTTCTAAAGCGTGCTCGAAGCTGTCTTGATTAACTGAAAGAGAAAGCAGAAAATATTGGGACTTGGAAAATGCATTCATCCTAGTCCAGTGAAACATGAAAAGAAGATGGCAGTCAGAGCCCTTCCTACCAGGCACCTTCACAGAACCAGCCATTTGGCTGTTGCATTCCTGTAGGTACATGATTCCAATACAGTGTGTGCCCCATGGCAGCAAAGACATGAAATCTTTCCATTAAAGGAAATAATTTTCTTCTTCCATCTTTCAATTAAAGGAAATTTCCCAAGCCACCAAAACAATCATCCTAAGACGCAGGCCTGACCACGTCTTTCTCCTACTCAAAAATCTTCAGGGGCTACCTATTGCCTCTAGGATGCAGTACACATTTCTCAGCCTAGAACTTAAGGCTTTTTGCAGGTTGGCCCCATCTTCCACTGCAGCCTTAATTTCATATTATTTCCTTTCTGGCCAAATTGTACCGCTAGGCTTTCTCTGAATTCCACCTTTTATCTCCCATTGTGATGCATTTGCACAAGTCATAGCCTGGTACCTGGAATGTCCTCCCTTCTCATCTTCTCTGGTACCTCCTCCCTCAAAATTATCTTGTGTGGCCTTTGCGTGTATTTTGTGCATACTTAGCAGTATACAAGTTGTCACTCTCATTGGAATGTAAGCTCCTTGGGGTAAGGGACTGTTTTTGCTTTTTGCCTTTGTATTCTCAGCACTTTTCACAGTGACTAGAATGTAGTAGGTGCTTAATAAATGCCCACAGATTGATTGTCTTTTGTGAACACTTACTAAGGTGCCACCTCCTCCAGGAAGCTTATTCTAATTCCCATTAGTTGCCACTGTTCTCTCCCTCCTCAAATTACTTTGTATTGAAAAATAAGTTTCCATGGTGTAGCTCCTACTTCCACTTTCCCCCCAAGCAGGATGGAAGCTCTTTGAGTGAAGGTTGATTTTAATTTTTGTGCCCAGTACAGAGCATGGCACGTACATAAATACCAAATGCAAATTATTGGGGATTTTGTCAGCGGAGGGAGTGCTGCCGAATCATCTATGACACATCCTAGGAAGTTGTTTGAGGCTGAGTGTGGTTAACCGACTTGGAGGGTGGCTTATATTCAGGCCAACAGAGGGCATCTCAAGTCTCAGGCTCAGGGTACAGATACCTTATTCATCTTTTCATCTGTCACTCTCTGTCCCCCCAGAGCTAAGTAAAAAGCCCTACACACAGCAGATGTTTAATGCATGTTGTTTGAAGAGAATTGAAGCTGAGTGTGACTGGCTTGTACCAGGGAAATGAGCTAGTCGTGAGAGGGGCCAAAGTCACTCATTGTCCACTGTCTTAAGGTATTAGAAGGTGGTGCTGTGCAGTGGCATGCAGAGCTGCCCTGTAAACCCTGGTAAGTGTTTCTCTGTTGCAGAATCCATGTAGATTGGCTTTTTCTGATTTAACCTTCTCTCCTATTTTTTTTAATTTTTAGCTCATTCATTGGAAAGCTATTTTTATTCACCCATTCTCAGAGAACCAAGAGACATAAAGTGAGGGCACACTTTTTTTTTTTTTGGTGCATCTGTAATAAAGTAACCAAACCCTTTGCCTCAGTTCACAGTAATTGCCAGGAAGTGGACAAGGACTTAAACAGTCCATTTCCAAAATCACTATGATGGAACTGAGTGTTTATCAGAAATCAAAAACCACAGGAAGAGCTACTTAGGAGATCAGATGGCATCCTCTGGAGACCTGTGGGTTAGTGGTCAGAGACCAAAGAATATTCATGGCATGATGTGATTCTAAGCTGAATTCTGACTCTCTTTGAAGCTGATGAAGTGGAGAGAGCACAGGTTGTAGAAAGAAGACTCAAATTCAAGGCTGGGCCAGCTTGGCTATTTAAGTGACCACGGGCTGGTCAATTCCCTTTTCACTGCATTGGATGACTCAAAAAGTCCCTTTCAGCTCTCATAGTTCAAGACACATGGGTCTATGAAAAGGTCAGAATCAATATTCTCTCTTGTAGCGTACAGATATCCAGAAAGGAGTCTGTTAATTTTCTCCCTCTTATGGTGAATTTAATATTAAAACTTAACTATTTATCTTGTAAGTAAAGGAGTTATAGGATTCATTTTAAGACTCTAGGATAATTGTAACCCTTTGTGAATGATAAGATATTTTCTAAAAAGACTGAGTTTGAACAAAATGGGGAAACTCAGTAATCATTGAGAAATTGTAGAATACCTTGTAACAATATATGTGTTAGAACCAGCTTTGTAATGATATGGGGGATACTTTGTCTCAGTAAAGTACTATGTATCAATGTAACAACATAAAATTAGAAGATACTTTCTAATAGCAACAGTTAGAGATGATGCTTCTTAAAATTAAAGGCCCTTATAGGATACATTGCAAAAGTATAAGAATCATAGGTTACTTTGTTGCAGTATATAGTGTTTTATATATAAATAAATAAAATCATGTATGGATACTTTGTAAAAAGAAGAGCCATGAGTTAGATACTCATTGGAAACAAAGGTGCTCATAGGATAACAGTATAGAGGATGCAGGTTACTTTTGTCTTTGAAACTCAACTCTTTTTACCCCAGAATCAGAATCTTCAAATCGTTAAGGAGAAACATACACATTAGGGCTGGCCCCCCTTCAACAAAACTGGGAAGTCTGCAAAGCTCCTCAGCCTACCTTTTATGTGTTCTTTACCCTCACCTTCTGCCTCTATGAAAGAAAGTATTCAGGTAAGGAGATTTAAAAAAAATCATTTATGCCAACTCATAAATGACTTGATAAGCATGTCTTTGTTCTATTTCCTGGAGATACTTGCCTTCTACAGACAAATGAATGAATTTCTAATAGTATAATTCCAAGAATAAATACTTTCTTTCAGGGATAGGGGCTGGAGAGGGACTTGTCCACCACCTCTTCAATTTCATCACAAAGATAGCTGACTACTCTGTCCATATGCACTCTTTTTATATTTGTGTGTTTTTACTTGAAGGGAGATTGGGTGGTATACTAAAAAGATTCTTCTAGCCTTGGAGTCAAGAGGACCCAATTTTAAATCCCGCTTCTGGAGCCTGCTACTTGAATGACCCTTGGGCATGTCCCTTAGTCTCCATGGGCCTCAGTTTCTTCATTTATAAAATGAGGGGATTGGACTAGAGGGCCTCTGGGGTCCCTTCCTGCTCTAGATCTAAGACCTTATGAATTACAACAAAGTGTTGCCTCCTTTTTTAGAGTCCAGTTCAGAGTACTTTCGTGGAGAGGTGGCATTGTGTGCGGAAAGAGTATTGGGTCTGGCATCAGGAGACCTGAGTTTAAGCTCCAGCTCTGCTGCTGATTTATTGTGTAACCTCAGGGAAATAATTTCCCCTTTCTGGGCTTTAATTTCCTTCCTCTGTAAAATGAGAAGTTCACTAGGTGGTTTCTAAGATCACTAACTTCTAAATGACATTCTATGATCCAAGGCTTGACCTGGCTTTGAACATGCTCTCTTCTCTGTTCTAAGCTAAGGTGTCACTCTGCTGCCCTAGTATGTGTTGTGTGTTCTGCTGCTCACATTTTCCACCCTGATGCTCCACATTATTCCTTCCCACCCTCAACACTCTCCTTTTGACCTCTTCTCTCAGAATTGTAATTAAATGAACTGCCACTAAACCAGCTATCACAGCGTCTGGAAAAGAGCGGTAGTGGACTACTTTATTGCAATATTCACCATCTTTTTGACTCATCAGACCAAAACTCCTGGCCATACACCCCTATATATGTTGTCTTCCCCTAATAGAAGACCTTTGAGGTAGAGATGCTCTTACCTTTGTATTTATAACCCAGTAATTAGTCAGTCAGTCAATAAGCATTTATTAAGTTACTACTGTGTGTGATTAGCAGGTTGATATTGTTCTTGGTACATAGCAAGCACTAATAAATGTTTTTCATTCATTCATTCATTTGTTCATTCATCAAGGTTCCTTCCCAGCCTTGACATTCTAAGATAACAATCATAACCATAATTGAGGAAGCTGGGAAGTATGTGTCTTTTTCGTGTCCGAGTGTCCATTCCGTGTGGCTGTAATGAATGAAGAAATGGCTCTTTACCTTTACAGACAGGTAGTGGTCCACTCCAGTGGGAAGGCTGACCCAAGATGCATTTGATAGTCACTTCTCCCATCAGCTCGAAACCTTCATAGCACATGAATGTGAGAGATTCACCTGGCAGGTAGAGCCGCTTGTATAGTATCTGGTAGCCATTTTCAGGCAGCCCTGGGTTGTCACATGCAAGAGTCTCTTCAGCTGCAAGGAAAGCAGAATGTGACGGTTTGTTAGGTAGTGCTGTAGAGACAGGGTCCAGGAATTTAGAGACATGTCATCCTGAGGTCTGCACAACCTATGACAATTAGCCAACAGTGGCTAGTGGCAGTAGAGCCAAGGTCTATACAACCTCAGAGCAAGAACCTTTCAGACCGATGGCCTTCCCAGGGGCAATAACACCATAGCCCCCATTTCTGCAGGGCCTCATGATTTATGAAGAACTTTCCTTAAACTATATTTTGCATGACTTCATATGTATATGGGCAACATATTGCTTGTCTTCTCAGTGGGTGGGAAAGGGCTGGAGGGAAGAAAAAGTTAATGACGTACTTTCCTTGGAGAAGCCTTGTGAAGAACCAAGGATAAGTAGTTATCATTGATTGCTTTTTATCCATATTTTACAGATGAGGAAAAGAGACTTAGAAAAAGGAAGTGACTTACCCAAGGTCATGCAGCTAGCAAATATCAGATCTGGGACTCATATACAGGAAACCTTCACTCCAAATGTTTCATGTTAATACCAAGTTAAAATTAATAACCACAAAATTTAACAGCTAGCAAAGACCCTACGTCACAAAGGGCGATTGAGCTTCAAACAGGCACGTGATTTGTTAGTCCTTACTTAAGTTGTGTAAAACATTAACTCCAAAGCACTAAATCAACCACTCAGTCACTTAACAAGCTTTTATTAAGCATCTACTGTATGCCAAGAACTGCTGTAGGCATGGGGGATACAGAGAAAAAAATAGCCTCTGCCCTCCAAGATCTTACATTCTAACCAATTCTGTTCTTGTTGCTCAATGATTTTGGGTTTCAGTCATGCCCTCATCTTTGTGACACCATTTTGGTGTTTTCTTGGCAAATATACTGCAGTGATTTCCCATTTTCTTCTCCAGCTCATTTTTTTTTTACAGATGAGGAACTGAGGCAAACAGGGTTAAGTGACTTGCCCAGGGTCACACAACAAATCTTGCAGTGTGGGAATAAACCTGCCTTAAGGTAGTAGCAACACAAGGTGGAAATACAGACATCTTACAGGTGATATTGACCTTCTGAATACTGAAGATCCCTAAAGAGTGGAACAGTGTAGTTTCCTACCTCCCACTTCTATGCCTTTGTATGGTGCCTGGAATGTACAAGTTTCTCTAATGCATAGCTTGTATGCCACTTCCTACTGGAGGCCTTTCTTGAGACCTCGGGTAGTAGTTCTCTTTCTCTGCTTAAATTACTTTTGTTATTATGCACATACTTGGTATTTTCTTGCTTGTGTACATATTATATCCCTATAGTACAGTGACAAGTCAACTAGTATTTATTAAGCCCCTGCTATGTGCCAGGTACTGTGCTAAGTGCTGAGGGTACAAAGAAAGACAAAAACAGTCCCTGCCCTCAAGAAACTCACCCTCTAATGGAGGAGACAGTATGGAAACAACTATCTACAAACAAGATGTATACAGAGCAAATTGTAGATTATTAACAGAGAGACGGCGCTAGCACTAAGAGGGGACAAGAAAGGATTCTTGTAGGAGGCAGGATTTGAATTAGAACTTGAAGGAAGCCAGGAGGTGGAGATGAGGGGAGGGAGGGAGGGAGGGAGAGAGAGAGAGAGAGAGAGAGAGAGAGAGAGAGAGAGAGAGAGAGAGAGAGAGAGAGAGACAGAGAGACAGAGAGAGAGACAGAGAGAGGAGAGAGAGACAGAGAGAGGAGAGACACAGACACAGAGAGAGGAAAGAGAGAGACAGAGACAGAGACAGAGTCAGAGAGATAGAGGCAGAGACAGAGACACATACAGATAGACACACAGAGACAGACAGATACACACACACAGAGGGGAGAGAGAGAGAGAGAGAGACAGAGAGAGAGACAGAGAGAGAGACAGAGAGAGAGACAGAGAGAGAATGAACTAGATATATGGCAGACAGCCAGTCAAAATGTCTAGAGTTGGGAGATGAGGTGTCTTCTGTAATAAACTGCTGGGAGGCCAGTGAGCTCCTTGAGGGTAGGGCCTATTTAATTTTTCCTCTGTTTCCTCTATATCTAGAATGGATATTGGTATTTAGTAAGCCATTAATAGCTTATTGAATTGAGTTGAACTGTGGCAGAAAGAGCATGGGGTTTGTTGATGAGACATGAGTTTTTGTCCTGGTTCCAATATGTACTAGCTGTGTGACCTTGGACAAATTATTTCATATCTCTGGGCCACAAAGATAATATCTTTTTTCTTTCCTTTCAAACATCGGTGTTATGAAGAACAAAGGAGATGATACATGTGGTAGGTGAAAAGGAAATTAATAAGCATTTATATAGCACCTACTATGTGCCATGCGTCGAGCTAAGAACTTTTTACAAATATTAGCTTATTTGATCCTCACAACAACCCTGGGAGGTAGGTACTATTATTATCCTTGTTTTACAGTTGAGGAAACTGAGACAAGCAGAGATTAAATGACTTGTGCAGGGTCATATGGCTAGTATCTGAGGCCATATTTGAACTTGGGTCTTCCTGAATCCAGTCCCAGCACTCTATCCATTGTGCCACTGCCTGCCTTTAATAGAGAAAATTCTTGTTCAGATGCATGTTGGGCTAGATGATCTCTGAAATCCCTTTAAATTGGAATATTCTATGATTGTTATGAAAATTATTTGAAAACTGCAGAGTGCTGTATCACCAAATTCTTTCATTTTTTTCTCCTACTTAAAATAATCCCCATGCTTTAGCTGGGCAAGTCTCTTTCTTAATTGTTCCCTCACACAGTTCCTTACTCCATTTCTCTTTGTAGACACCATTCCTGTCCCTGACCCTCCATGAATGCTGTTCTCCATTCCATCTGCCTATCATACCCTTTCCTTGGTTACACTCCTTTTTTGACCGTTGGTGGCCACATTCATCTCTGCTTACTCTCAACCCCTACAAAACTTATTGCCTATGCCAATCACATGGCCCTTGACATAGGAGCTCTGCTGCCTCAGTGGAGTCTGTTTTCAGGCTAAGCTGTTAACCTTGTTGCTTGACTTGTTTCCCCTCCCCCAAAGGAAGGTGATATTGGGCTCCATTAAGAGATACAGCATCGAGTATGGTAAGCCTAGTGGATAGTTCCTCTGGAGTCCTCCCAGATCGGTTTCTATCTGGAATATCATGTTATATTCTGCACAGCCATTTAGGAAGGGCATTGATAATTCAGAGAGCATCCAGAGGAGAGCAACCAGGGTGAGGAAGGGCCTTGGGTTCATGCCTGCCATCATTAAGACCAGGTGAAGGAATGGGAATGGTTAATCTGGAGAAGAGAAGGTTCAGGTGGGATGTGATAGCTGCTTCAAGTATTTAAAGGGCTGTAAGATAGGAAAAAGCATCCATTGGGAGCCAGCAGTAAAACTATGAGCAAAGGGTGAATGTTTCAAGTTAAGTCAGTTTAGCCTGAGCTATGAGGGAAAAACAAAACAAAACTTCCAAATGATTGAAGCTATTCAGAATTGGAGTGGGTTTGTACCAGGAGAACCTGGGGGGGGGGGGGTTCCCTGAGGTCTTTAAACAAAGTTTAGTGACTGCTTAAGTGTGTTGGAGGCAGGATCATTTTTTCATGTATGGGTTGGTTGCAATGGCCTCCTACATCACTTCCGACTCTGCAATTCTGTGATTGTCCAATTGGGCTAGGACAGGGGTGGGGAACCTGTGGCCTTGAGGCCACACATGGCCTTCTATGTCCTTGGGTGCTGCTTTTGAATGAGTCCAAGTTTCCCAGAACAAATCCTTTTATTAAGGGGATTTGTTCTGTGAAGTTTGGATTCTGTCAAAGGGCTACACTTGAGGACTTAGAGGGCCACACATGGCCTCAAGGTTGAAGGTTCCCCACCCTGGAGGAAGTTCCAGAGGGCAGAGGTGGGGTTTTTCATCTCTTTGTAATCTCTGCAGAACAGGGCTATCCATACATGTAGAGTCTGACATACACACACACACACACACACACACACACATTATACATATTAAGCACTTACTTGTCAAAAGAGCCAGTGTTGTGTAATGGGAATTATACTAGGCTCAGAGTTAGTCTTTGAGATCAAATCTTGTGGCAACTAATTCATTAGCTGTGCCACCTGGGGAAAGTGACTTCCTTTTTCTGATCTCAAATTCATTCCTCTGTAAAATAATGGACTTGGGCTCCACAATTTCTAAAGTTCCTTCCAGCTCTAACATTGTATGTTTGTGTGTGTGTGTGCATTCAGATAAATGAGACCATATCAAGTCAGAATGCACAATGAAAATTCTGCTCAATCATATAGATGTTAATATGAATTTTTCTGGATGTTAATATTCAAATATGCAGAATTGATGGGATGCCTCTATTTTCCTGCCAGTGTTTGTTGATGGGATGTCTCTATTTTCCTGCCAGCATTAGAGAAGACATGTATTTCTGAGGCAGATTTCCTTAGATTCCCTATGGGTACAAACCTCTTAGGCAACCAAGGAAGGAGTGGGAAGAGGACACAGAGCAGAATAAGAAGGCCTCACCCTCGCTGTGATTGCCATTAGGATCATAATATTATCATCTGCCCTGCTGCTATGCTCTGTGGGCAGCTCAGCCCTTCCATCTGTCCTACAGCTAAAGCCTCTTGTATGTGCTGTCTCCTCCATTAAAATGGGAGCTGCTTGGGAGCAGCAATTGTCTGACTTTTCAAATTGTGTATCCAGCATTTAGTATAATGCTTTGTGCATACTAAGTTGTTAATAAATGCTTTTTCTTTCATTCATTCCTATGATCACTGTGCTTCACTTTATGACAGATGGATATAGTGTTTCCTGGAGTCAGGAGTACCTCATAAATGGTCCCTGGAGGGTTCTATAAGCCCCATGTTGCTGGGAAAGGGAAAATTGCAGAGATCAGTCAATAAAACAGAAGCTGAATGGTTGGGGCACTCCTTGTATTTTACAAACCTCAGTAAGTAGATAAATGACCTGGGAAATGTCCTCAGCCAGGTAAGATTCA